CCTTAGTGCCCTCCCACCAAGGAGCTTTTTGATCTCATCTATCTTGGTGACCTCTTCCATGGTAATGGACTCAACTTCTACTGAGTCTTCAGACTCTGCTTCATCAAAGGTGGATGTTTGTATGGGTTAAGGAGTGTTCCTTCCACTTCCAAACAAAATGTCTAGTATGGTCAGCAGTTCCCCACCCAAAYCAATCATAGCCTGGGATTAGGCCTGCTTTCTTTATCTCAGTCCATTATCCATCTTCTGGTTCATGAAATAATTTGCTAACAGGCAAACAAACATGCCTATAGATAGAGGTAATAACATAGTTGCCCATTGTTTATAATACCGTTTTCTTTGTCTGAACTCGGTTGTTTTGAGGCTAGACAACTTATCTTTCTCTTTWCACATTACCAGTAGTAGAGGCTAAAAATAGAGGACTGAAAGAAATGGTGTACAGATTATTATTATAACTTTTCAGAATATATTATAGTTGTGTGTGTTTTTTCTCCACATAATAACTAAGTGACCCATCTCCTCTTTAGATAAACATGGACACCCTGTCAACTCACCTGACACARGTAAGATTAAGCTAATACAAGCTCTGCCCCCTCTGCTCTGTTACTGTGAATACACTTTTTCTCTTTGTATTACACAGAGTCTTCCAGACCTGACCTGGTCTTCCTCAGCGTCTATCCACCGTTCATCCGATGAAGAGGAGGAAGTGGGTAAACATCAAGAGTTGGAGCTAAAGTTTGTAACACTAGAGCAAGATGAAGGCGAGGGTCCCATCTGCGACATCCGAGCACTGATGTTGAGGTGTTGCCATGGTAACAAGAGAGGGTACATGCTGCTGTGTGTGTGTGGAATCRTCATGTTCACTGCAGGTAAAAACACTCAACACAACAACACTTATTTAGCCTGGCCCTTGCCTTCCTACGCAGCTCCGCTCAATTCTTGTTTCCCTTCTCTGCTCCATCTGGCACTTCGTCATGGATTTCGCTGGCAGGTTTTTAGCCGGGCCAATCAGAGAAGAGAACGTCAATTTTCTGCGCAGTGTCTGCTTGTAGTTTATTTTACCTGGACCAATCAGCAAACAGAAGAAGGAGTTTTGAATGACGTCGATGTTCTGTGCAGTGTTTGCTAGTTTAATTTAGCATACGGCAGTGGAGGAAGAGAATGAAGCCAGTCTGTGTTGATAAGGCTTCAAATTAAATTAAATTTGTCTGACAAAGCAGCAGCTCTCATTTACAGTCGTCTCATTTGGCTCGGTATATTTCTCCTCTCAGTAGGGTTGTTTACAGATATCCGGTTAGCTTCTTAGCTTAGCTTCCGTCACAGCGACAACACATACTGTACATGCTTCAGCAGAGGCCACGCCTCCTGCAAGAAATCGATTCTCTATGCAGCAAATCCAGACCCTTGTACGAAGCAAAGTGAAGGACAGGGTCTGGTTTTAACCAGGCTAACACATATTAATAATCAGTGATAAACTGATGATCAYATGATGATTGTGTTTCTCTCTGTAAGCGTTCCTGCTGGCCTTCGCTGTGGTCAGTGGACGATACCACTGCTCTGAGGTGGGGGGCCTGGAGGAYGACGAGCAGCAGAAAAGCAAGATCGACGCACCTGCAGAAGCAGGGGCAGGGCTTTACCTAGGAGAGCTGAGGGAGATGATGAGGATGCTGCTACAGGATGAAGATATCCACAACATTATCAGGTATCAGGCTGCACCACATCATCATTATGAAAAATGCAAAGTAACATCATCTTAACCTTTGTAATAAAAATCACTGCCATATTATTAAAAAGTTTTTTTTTACTTTTTATTTCCATAAAAGTACCAGTTTAAAAATGCTGCAGAACCCCACCTGTCTTGGTTTAAGTTGTAAATCACAGTACTGTGAGATGGATCTTAGAAGTAATAATCACACAAGACACTGGCTTGTTCAAACCTGTTTATACATTAATATTTTTTTTGTTCCGCTCTCGGAGGAGGAGTAAGACACTTTTTCCTTCTCTCCTGCCCTTCCTTATCTTCCCTGCTTCGCTGCTTGGAGCCTTCTCTACATT